CCCCCCCTCCCCCTCTCTTGTTTCTTCCGCAGGTGGGAATCCAGCACCCACACTTCCCCTCCTCTTCCCCTTCATAGAGTTTGGGACTGGATTTCGGATTTTGGTCTGCCACAGCGCATAGCAGCCTGCCAAGTGCCCAGCAAAAAAAAAAGAGGCACTTTCTTACTCTCGCAGATTTCCCAGGCAGCTGGCTGGGCCCGGCGGTACCGTCCAAAGCAGCTTACAACTGCACAGAACAACTTAGATTTGAGTCTTTTGACACTCTATTCCCAGGGAGCTGGCTGGGCCCGGTGGTGGTGGTCCCATCCAAAGTAGAACAACTGAAGCCCGAACCACTGAAGCTTGTGAGCAAACCTCAATTGCAACACAACTTATACCTCCCCCTCCTCGCCACTTTCCTATTCGTCTATTCAAGTCTAATAAATGATCCAATCCCATCAATAATTAATTGGCATCATTTGAATCATTTCACAATTAAAGATGGCCGCGCGGTGCGTGCGCCTATCAACACCTGACGTCCATATTTTGACCACCGCCGATAGGACACAGTGGAACTAAGCTTCTGAAGAGGCAGAGATCTGGAAGTTGGTGGACGTTGACTGGGACCAACAGTATACCTCAGGGAGTCTTAGGCCCCCTCTGAAGCGGATGAATACAGACACGGGCGCCGCAGCGCGCAGCACCGATACATCCACCTCGTTAACGCCTAAAAATGTGGTAGGTACTGGTGGATCTAATAACATTTATTCAATTTTTAATTTATTTTTTTGATAACTGTTGTTGTGATTCAGCAAGACCATTCGCTTGCGAACGTTTTACGTGCTCACAAATTGATTGGAAGCTTTGCTGAAAACTGAAATTGATCCATCACTCGCTCTTTGGCAGAATGACGAGACATCCGTTAAAATTGCAAGGATACAGAGAGGATTAACATGGCCCCTGCACGCGGATGACATGCACAAATTGAGAAATGGTCCAATGAAAAAAAAAAAAAAAAAAAAAAAAAGAAGTTGTTTGCTCTTTGGTCACACTTCTTATGACACAAATTCTTATCTCACCGGAGGCCCCCAGCTTGCCCTGAATACACAGCGCATCAAACGGGACTGAAGTTAGTGAACATAGCGCGGTAGATTGACTTCCCAGACAGGCGCACTGGCTATGGCTACACCCTGTCTCCCCTGCTATTAGCGCTAAAAAATAGTGTTGCTCTCTTCTTCCAACTAAAGCAACTTCCTGTCAGATGAAAAAATTGTTGGTTCGGCATCCCGGCTTGTCGATTCCCACGAGTCGCTCCCCCTGGGGTCTAGGCCCACTGGGCCTACCTATGGGAAAATCGGAAATCCAGAGCTAGTGGTCCGAAAAGGCCGCAGTCTAGGAGCACGAAGTGCTGCCCACATTTTCTTTCCACTTTAACTGGGAGGAAGAATAGCATCAGAGTGAAAGGGCTGTAACTTGTAAGTCTTTTGTTTACTTGCCAGTCGAATAGCAACCAGGAGGCTAATGCAATGCTCCCCGAATAGCAACCAGGCTAATGCAATGCTCCCCGAATAGCAACCAGGCTAATGCTCCCTGAATAGCAACCATGCTAATGC